ATATATTGTGTATCATATATATATCAATATCTATCTATCTATCTATGCCCTACATCAGTGGTGGTCAACTTTCTTGATATAGGGAGTCTTAAGTGCGCCCCCTTACATCACCAAATGGCCGCACATAATATTTACTGACTGTAATGCTCCAGAAAGCCATGTAACTGGAGATGGCCAACAGAAAACATTCTATAGGAGTTGTTGTAGAATGGGGACATGCTTCAGAGGTAATAGACTGTAGAAATGTTACATGAGACTGCCCCACTGCTATTACTGCCCCTATAAATGTCAACGCGTCCACATTTGAAAGTTACTTGTGCCACATTTGATATTTTGCTTAGTATGTTTAGCAAGTGGTAGTAGTGCCAAGGTCGGGCACCAGGGCCCTGTATGCTGATTAAATGGATGAGCTTCATTAACCTGATTTATTAAAACTAAAGTAAGGTAAAGCTTTGTTCATCCAATCATGCGAAAAAAACGTTTTTTTCAAGTTCCCCTGCACATGGTGGGATGTTTGCATCCAATTCGTGGACTCATTTAGACCTACTTTGCATCGTAGTAAATCAGGCTCACGTTAATCTCACCTCACTTTTTCACCTCCCTTTTTCAGTTTAATAAATCAGACCCAAAGATACCAAGTCTTGTAGTGCCTTTTCTGCTTACATTTTACCTGCATCATTTTTAATACTTCTACTGGTGTCATAGATGAGAACCCAGAGTGTTCATTTATTTGGACTTTAATGCTGAATGATTTTCATTTTTCTTCATATGCTAAAATAAATACAATTGTTTGTCTAAACAGTGATTAATGCCACTTTTTCTATCTTATCTGATTGCAGGACTGTAATAATCATGCAAGCTGTGTTACAATTAGATGCCCCCTTCAGGGTCTGGACAGCAGTGCATTCATTAAAGTGCGGTCAAGGCTATGGAATAGCACCTTCATTGAGGTAACACTGCTGTCCTATATACATTATTACCTCTTTTGAATATAACAAGTTTAGTTGATTGTCCTTTCTATTTCTGCTACCAGGAGTATTCAAAGATGAATTATCTGGACATTCTAGTGAAAGCCTCCATCAATATTGATACAAAAGCGGAAAACATCAAATTGTCAAATGAGGGTTACCAGGTAAAATACATAATGCCTCGTAGCTGAGTTGTAATTATATTCATTTGTTTAACTAGGGATTACAGTAGGACATAAGAGAGGACACATTGTAAATTATTATTTTGAAGTTCACCTCACAGTATTCGTTATCATGACTTTTGCATACCTGCTGTGCTATATTTTCATCTTTGTGTTTGTAGAGATCTGTAGTTTGTCCTTCTAGTGATTATCTGTAATATGTAATGAGATTAATATCATTCAATAGATAAACCTCTCAGAGACAGTATAGCATTATGAATTTGTACACCTAGAATGGACCCAAAGCACATCAAGAAAGTATAGCAAGTATGTGTGATGAGCAAAATGTATGCCCCCTTGTACATATGGAATTACAAACTAAGCATAGAAACAATGCTTTAAAAACATTAGCAAATGTTGGTAAGATTATTAACATTTAAAAGAACTTGTCCAAATAGAAACATAGCAGCTGCCATTGTTGACTTGGGGGCTGTTTTTGGATGAGGGATGGAATACACACAAAAAAAATCCCTGACCTATGACAAGTAGGGCCATATCAGGTGTCAGGACAGCCAATAGGTGGCAACCTTTCTATAGAAATATACATTAGATGATAGATAGATAGATAGATAGATAGATAGATAGATAGATAGATAGACAGATAGATAGATAGATAGATATTAATGAGGGTTTCAGGAGAGCCAACACATTTTGGGGATCTACTTTCCCTTCATCATGACTAATAATAAACATATTAAATATTAATTGCTAAACTGTGCTGGTTATAGTCAGTATGGAGTATAAATAGTAGGTTGTTTGCTTGACAATGCATAGATATCACACATGTATATACGTGAAGTGAAAACAGGAGGCACAGTGCCTGGGTCCAAAGGAATGTACTATCCTACAACAATCTTTATATACTGTAGTTAGATTGTTTAATAAAGGTTCCAAGAGAGCCAACACAGTTCAGAGTCCACTGCATCTAGGCTATTAAGAAACATATTTGATTAAGACATGCTGCACTGAGGCAGCCCATTCATCTTGAAATGGCTGGCAGCACACTTAACGCACCGAAAAGAAATGAATATGATCCTTTATTTCTAATCAGCCCACCAAAATGCTCAGCATGTGTGTTGTGCTGCACTGCAGAGCAGTGTCTGTAATAGTTCGTTGAGGGAGCCTTGCTCACCAGTTGCAGTGCGTTCCGGCCCAATTCTGGCCGGAACGCACTGCCTCGCATTGCGGCCGATTCACATTTTAGTGGGGCAGGAGGGGGCGTGGCGTGCCATTGAAATCTCAAGGCACATTGTGCCTGCGGTGCGGTCCGTTTCGGTCAAAATTTTGCATTTAATCGCACCGGACCGCAGGCACAATGTGCCTTGCAATCCCGTGTGGGCGATCGCATTGCGGCCAGAGGGCGTGGCTACAGTGCCATTCACTTGAATGGCCCGCCATGCCCCCTCCTGCCTCACTAAAAAGTGAGCCGGCCGCAATGCGGGACGGAACCCCCTGCAACTGGTGTGAACAGGCCCTAAAATAAGATGCACTATACCGTGGTTCGCACCTTACTATGTGTTGCTGTGACATGCATTATAACATGTGTTTTACCAAAATGTGGAAGGACCCTTAATGTGCATATGTAGGAATGGACAGACAAACAAGAATTGGAAAGGATCATAGAAAGTTCCTTTTCAGTGTATTTATTTCTGGGAGTTTCATTGTGCCTGTCAGAGTTTTGTATAAAATTCTATTACTAATGAATTCTTTGTAGTAAACTAAAGGAAGCACCGTATCTCTCTCTGTGCAGGTGCGCGTTACGGTTTTCCCAGAGAAGAGACAGATGCAATATGCAGGAGTGCCATGGTGGATCATCGCGCTTGCCATACTCTCTGGAATTTTAGTGCTTGCAGCAGTAGTGTTCCTTTTATGGAAGGTGAGTAAACATTATTATAGTCAATAATTATATGCACTGCACACCCAAGGATTTACATCCACACTGATAGCACTACACTCCTACAAGCCTATTCTACCCAGAATTGATATTACAATTTTAAGTGGATGCTCATGGGTTATTTGGTTTACCTGATTCTTGTTTATGTGGAGACAGCAGAGATGAGATTTCCTTATAAAATCTATGTCTCCTTAGTCATCCACTAGGACATAATAAAGGGGTTACCACACAGCTGGGTTCCCCAGTCATTGTTTTTTCCCCCATCATGCTTTGTAATGGCAACAAAATACAGTTGGATAGACCTAGGAATTCTGGTGGAAGTACTACAGTCCTATTAGAACTAAAGGCAATGCGAAAGTCCCTGAGAAATGTAAAAAGTCATATTACTCAATGTGCCTGCAGCCACAAAAAAGTAATTATCTTTTATCAGAGCCATAGTAGGTAAGGGGAAATCTTTCAATGGTGAACCTGTTCCAGTGATGGCACTTTTGAGAAATATTTACTTATTTCCATCTCTGGCACAGGAAATGAGGGGAAAGCCCACAATAGGACACAGTAAGCAAATAAAACCCCCAAAAACCAGACAGGGGTTCTAACATTTCCCTACTGTATCCTACTGGAAAAATGTTTGGTCACAGATATGTGTTACATGGATTCTATAGCACACGACGATTCCTAGCTGCATGTATAGTAGTCTTTTAGTGCATCCTGGCAGCTCCAAAACCCAGAGTGCTCTACTATAAAAATTCTGACTTCATCTAGCAAGTCAACACTTTGATTGCCTTCTTCTGCTACCCTCTCCTCACTATTGGCCAGTGAGGCTTCACATTTATTCTAGTAGATAGAGTGGGGAAGGTTTTAAAACTTCTTTGCAGTCTTTGTCCCCATTGGGGAGATATTTGCTTTCCGTACTTGTGACAACATGTCAAAAGGGAGAGAACGTGAGCGAAAGTAAAGTCAAAGTGGCAAATCTGTCCAATGGAGACTGCAAATAAAGTGCTTTTTTAGTAAGCAGGAGAATGAAGTCAAATCTTTGCCAGGTTCTTGCTAGCTGTTTGTCCTGGCAGTACCTGTTCCAGGAACTCTACAGGAAAGCAGAAATCAATTAGAGGATTATCAAAGGTATTGTGCTTGCATTTCTGCATTACTCCAGCCCACCATATTGTTTTTTCACGACTGTTAATGTGGTCATTCTGATCTACCTGACAAGTTCAGATATTTAACAGTACTGCTTCCATAACACTGTTCATTACCACCAAGATATTCATCTTGTTCAAAAAGATCATGGCATTTATAACCAATTATATTTTAACATAACATTCTATCTCTTTTTTCTTAACTTACCATCAATATGTAGTAGATGCTGAGCAATCTGGAAGGATGTAGGGTATTACTTGTTTGTGGTCCCATCATTTGAAGATTGCTACATTTTGGTCATCCATTATAACTGAGGCATTTTTGTTTCTAAATGTAATTGCAAAGTGCACTGGTAATCTACACATAGCAAAAGCAGACATTCCGTAGCCAAGGCAATATTAACAACTCACGAGGTACATTGCAAATGGCATCTCATTGATGAATTGCTGGTGAATTGCTAAACAGTTTATTTGTTTAGACCTTTCGAATTCTGCTTTTGAGCTGTGTAGGTGACACAATTTTGTCTTGATATATTGTGACAAGTGATGTATTGATTCTGTACGTTTCCTTTCTCCGATCATTGAAAAATCATACAATGCAATTTAATCACCTTGATTCTTTGTAGTGTGGCTTCTTCAAGAGAAGTAAGAAAGATCAGTATGATGCTTCATATCACAAGGCTGAAATCCATACTCAGCCGTCTGATAAAGAGAGGCTGACAACTGACGCATAGTATTGATCAGCGTCCTGTGATTTGGTAATTGATTGTTTCAATCACGGCTTATGGGTGTCGGTTTGGCTGCAAGATCTTTAACACAGCAGTTGCTTGCGCTGCAGGTGTCTTTTATTAATAAGCGGAATGTATATCTTTGTTGTGCTTTGCCTTTTAAAGAGGGTTTGCATCCAGTTTATAGAATTCTACTCATGCATGTAAAATTACTAAACAATTCATACTTACACCTCTTTCTTCCAAAACATCATTTGATGGTGTGGATTATGTGCTTTTTCAGTCAAAGTGTAAATAAATCAGGTTCAGAGCTAATATATATCTATGGTAGTGGCCACACCATTAATTCTTGTGTACTTGTTATTAGAGCAATGTGTAGTTTTAATTTTCAATTATTTTTAATGTCCATTGAATCTGACTTGGTGATAGAATAGTGATTCAAAGTTTAGAATCTTTCAAAGATGCTGCTAAAGTGTTTGACATGGGCACGTATATAGTTAGATAAAATCTCTGAAGAGAAGGACCATACACATAGTGTAGATCCTCCTTCATCCTACATTCATACACATGTATCCTTCGTCATCCCTCCATCTATGCACATGGTTCCTCCTTTATCCCTAAAGCTATATAGATTGCCCCTCCTTTATCGTTCTACCTATACACATGGGCCCTTCTCCATCACTAAACCTATAAACATAGGTCCTTCTTAACCCCTCACTTCATACACTTTAGTCATCTTTCATCCTTACATCTATACACATGGATGCTCCTTTATCCATCCGCCTATACACATAAGCCCTTCTTAATCCCTTCAACCTATGCACATGGGTCCTACTTCATCCCTACATCTATACACATAGGTCCTTTTTCATCCCTCCATCCATACACATGGGCCGTCTTTCATCCATATACCCAGGCCTTACTTTAGCTCTTCATCTTTAGATATGGGCCTTCCTTCATACTTCTACCCATACACATGGTCCCTTCTTCATTACTCTGTCCATATACATGAGCCCTCAGTCATCCTTCTACCTATACACACAGATCAGATTTCTTCCCTCCATCCATACACATTGGCCCGCTTGCATCGTCCCAAGCATTCATAGGTCCTCCTTCATCCCTCCACTCATAAACATGGATGCTCCATCATCCCTGCACCCATACACATGATCCGCCCCCCCTCAATCCCATTACCAAAACACATGGGTTCTTCTGGTTTCCTTTCACTTTTCTGCTAAGTCCACAAGCATATATCATTCTCAGTTTAGCCATAAATACATATACATTCTTATTCCATTGATCCACACAGTAGTCTTATGCCTTCACACATGCATATAGGTTTCCCCATAATCCCTACACACCTACTTATAGACTCTCCTCGCCAAGGCACATGGGTCTCTCTGAATTCCTTCACCATTGAACATAGCTTTTCTTAATTCCTCCACCAGTACACATGGATGCACATCTTTTCCTCCACCCATACACAAGGTCCTCCTCAGACCTTCTTTGTATACACATGGGCCCTTCTCAGTCCCTCCACAGGGATCTTCCTCAGTTTCTTCATACTATACAGGGATCTCCCTTATTGCTTCTGTCCATGTCTATCCATTGTGTTTTACCGGGACAGCACGTATGCAGGAGCCTATTTTAATTATCAGGAAACACTCTGGGATTGTAACAGGAACCCTCTAACAAACATAATGCTTTGCAAATGCTCTCCTTTTATCTTTAAAATAAATGAAGTGTATAAAGATATATTATAATACATTTGTAAAAGTGCCTAAATTATGTAAGCAATGACTATATAGAATGCTAAGTCTCTTCAAGTGGCATCTTAAAGGCAGTCAAGGAAAACAGGTGCACACTACTGGCATCTACCAGACTTGTAGAATTTCAGTTTTCTTATGATCCGCTCTAAGGATTTTACAACGGTATCGTTCAGGCTTGCTTATAGTCACAGAGCACCTATAAATACCTACTTGCCCTGGGTAATAACAACTCCTCTGCTTTGTGGACCTGTTGCTTCCAAATATTCTGCCGTATATCTGTATAAGCGATACCTAACTCCTTCTGTTGTCTACCACCTCCTTGGGCTTGGTAATTTGCTCTCCTGTCTGTTTCTAATTTAAAAAAAAAAGCATATGCAATTAACAGTGAAAAGGTATTATTAATATTTTATCTTTCTTCATGTTTAGATCTTGTAAAGCAGGCCATTGAGATAACTTTTTTACATTGTTTTCATTACCTATGTTCTTTTCTTATGTGCAGACTTAAGAAATAGTCATTGTGCCCAGGGGTTAAATGCTTATATATTTAATCTTTCCATGTAGTGTAAATGTAAGAAATGTTAAAGTGTATTTGCACTTTTGCAGTTAACTTTGAGAATTATTATGTGTTCCTGTTCACACAGCACACCTAATAAAAATCATTTACAACTGATAATAAGATTTGCCAGCACAGTGCAGTCAGGGTTAATTATAGTCAAAATTAACTCCCCAGCCCCTTGCAGAGAAAAGTTAAGTTTTGGAGTCTTCAGAAAAGAATAAGTAAAATGGTAAATAATATTGTTTTACGTTCTGCTATGTGAATGGGAAGATGTAACCAATAAAGTAGAGTGTTATCCCAATTTGGCTGCAAAGGTGAAAATACATTTTAAGCCATTGCACACATTCTACTCCATTCTATTGTTATCTAGACCGCTATTGATCGATCAGCTGGCTGCCAGCCAAACTTGAACATTGCCCACTGAGCACAATTGATACGGCAGCCTGGTTGAATAGAACAAAAGAGCATAAGTAATGAATGCCATTTACAGAGCTTATTTTACTGCTGTGTCTTACAATATCTAATTTGTTAGAAAGGTGATTTATTTACATTTTAAAGAGAACCAGTCTTGACTGTGCTTATACAAGAATGTGAATCATAAATAATTATATTTGTGCAGGTATAAATATGAAATCTTTATATTCCCCTTATTTGGCTTTGCTTACTTTGCCTAAAGACAACTCTCTGGGTCGAGAATTGGAGCTGTAAATTCCCCTAAGGTATGACAGTTGCTGTTATGGTGACTGCCTGTGTTTTAGCTGGTAAAGCACACACAAATACGTTGTCCAGTACTATAGAAAAACACAGCTCCAGAGTTCTTTATATTCCTCAACTATGGTACTTATTTGCACACTCAGGAGCTGGAAAACAGTGTGTGTTTTTAGCATGGGGGCTGGCAGTCGCCAGGGCAGAGAATGTCAGACCCCAGGGGCTGGGGCGTAACTAGAAATCACCGGGCCCCATAGCACAATTTTGTATGGGACCCTGTGATTTCTAGTTACACCCACCTGATATCCCAAACAACCCACCTGAGAGTGACCCTGCAGAGCCCACCATAGACTCTCTACGGTGGGCTCTGCAGGGTCTCAGGTGGGCTGGTCAAGCCCTCTTACCCGTCAGCCCCGATCGCTCTCCGCCTCCTCCGTCGATGGGCCCAACCTCCCCATCACCAGGCCCCGCCTCCTCCTTCGCTGCCGACGCCAGGCCCAGTCTCCTCCTCCATAGCTGCTGGCTGTCACTGACTCAGCAACAGCTGTGAGGAGGAACGCGCTGCTGCACAGATCACTGACAGGTTGTCAGTGATCTGAACAGCGGCGTGTTCCTTCTTACAGCCGCCACTGACAGTCAGGAGCCTGCAATGCCATAGCGACCCAGGCTGCCCGTACAGCAACAGGGGGGTGTAGTGGCCGGACCACATAGCGGCCGCCTGGGTCGCTATGGTGATTGTTCCACCACCGCCCAGGGGGTGTCTCATCTCTGAGTCATCCTCAAGATAATTAAGCAAATCTGCACGGTTATAATAATTTAAGATTGCATATTCAATTTTAATCCAAAGCCTAATGATGACTGGTTCTCTTTAATGACCCTTAAAAAAGCTCATATTCTGATGTAATTCTTGTGTTTTTTTCTTCTGCAGTTTGGATTTTTTAAACGTTCCAGGTACGATGATAGTGTCCCTCGATACCACGCTGTACGAATTTCCAAAGAAGAACGCCAATCTAAAGACGGAAAATTGAAACCGGACAGTGAAAAAAAACAATGGGTCACCAACTGGAATGAAAACGAAAGTTATTCCTAGGAATGTTTTTTATTTCTTTTTTAAATAATAATTACTGTTAATTGAAAGACGGCTCCAGGCGACAGGCTTTAACTTGAATTGTCTTCGGATATCGTTACTACTCCTGAGGCAGTTAAGACTTGCACAGGGAAACCTTAATTGGAGACTTTAAAAAGAAATGTGATCGAAAGTGAAATATTGGTCAAAAGTCATTGCGCTAATGGACATGTGACAGTTATTGCTTGGTAATAAGTGGTTTTGTAGGTGCACGCGGCGTGAGGAAGGGGTGTGGATATACTTGTTCTGCTGTAATTATGCAATAAACATGGAGGCACCACTGAACTGTTGAGCAAAGGAAAAAACAATGACACTCTTTCTAAAGGTACTCACGAGCGCCAAATTGCGGCAGCATGGCAATAAACCATCAGATTGTTGAATTTTCTTTTTTTATCTATCAGTTACATTCCCGCAAACTCCTGTATCTTTTATGAATGTATGGACTGTGCATACACTAAAAAAGATGGGCCATTGACCAAATATTTCATCACAGCTGGTAGACTACTGCCTCAAAGTTATCAGTTATGACTGCTTCTACTCCATATGTAGCTACTTCTTCTCCTGACAGACCCAGAATTAATAGACGACCGTTGTCCCGTGCCTATGGGTACCTTTAGTCTGAAAAGATCTGTGATCATTCTGCCTTAAAAACTGCTGTTTGTACCATTGAGCAAGTAAGCATTAGAGGAATGGTGTGATACTTTACTGTCGCCTATGCAAAAACCTTCAATTCTTCAACACAGCTAAACGATTCAGACCTTTGTTTTTTGACTTAGGAAGTTGTAGTACTTAACTGGCCTGGGCCAGTGTGCCTTTTAATTCCTTCCTTGTAAGGAGAGCCTTTTGAAGTATTGCATAGCAGTGAAATCCATTGTTTCAACTAGCATTAAACTCTCAACCTTTTTTTTTTTTTCAATAATGACTCCAGATCAAACAAATATACATTGTCTAGCAAAATATGTCTTTACATTGTTGTTCAAAAACTTACAGTCATCATGTTTCCACACAGCTGGCTCCAACTCTCTCAGCTCGGCTTCTCTGAACTTCCTGTTGAGTACACAATGACAAGGGACAGAATAGTCTGCAGCAGCTGTACATTTACAGTTTGCTGAAGGCAAAAATTAGAAGAGAGGAATGGGAAGCAGAGAGCAGAGGAGTGTTTTGCCTTGCTTTGCCTGTGTGCTTGTGGAGACACACACACACAGCTTACTAGCACACACAAGAGTGGCTCCATAGGACCCTGTAAGGGAAAGGATCCACCCTAAAGCAGGATTTCAGGGTCAGAGCTCAAGGGACCAGCTGATTTCAAGGAACAGCGTCCATTGTAAGTGACCTAATCGGCATTTGAAATAGCTTAAAAACCTTTTGACTTTAATATCACTTTAATTATACATTTATTATTTACTAAGGCAGAGGCTCACAGCAGCCAATCATATTTCAGAAAGATCATCTCTGGATCGTCGCAGTCTCTTGTTGCGCTTTGCACGGTGAGCTTTGCCTTGTTGAATAAGTTCAAATGCAACAAAAACACACTCCTTGTTTAAAAGAGAACTATGGGGTAAGTGTTTTCCCCCATAGTTCTCTTAAGGGTCACAGGAGGACATATACCTGCGTCCTCCCGTGACCCAAAGCTTAGTATATCGCGAGCTACAGCTTGCGGTATACTGAGACCGCCGCAGCCGAGGCGGATCCCGACATTACTGTCAAGATCCACCCAGGTGCGTGAGTGACAGCGGGCTCTGCCTTTGTCAGCGCTGGAGTATTGTCCGGATCCACCCCATTTCCTGATTGACAGCTGGCTCTGCCTCTCTAGAGGCAGCTAAGCCCACATGTCCCTTCAATGAGTACGGGAGGAACAGAGAGAGGGGAGAATCCCTGCAGGGAGCTGTGACTGACAGTCACGGCTCCCTGCAGGGAGGTGAGCGAGCGACAGTATGTGTTCGCTCAATTCCCGATCTATTGAGCCGACGTGTGACAGTTTCATTGTCACACGTCGGCTCGAATTATGAGGATGAGTGATTTTCACTCTCCTCATAGTTCTCCTTTTAGGCATACGTTCCCGGTGCATACCCCCAACTCTACCCAATTCTGTGGGAGGAGGGTGGATTTTAAAAGAACCAAAGGGGCAGGGTGTTTTTGATTTGGGGAGGGGCTTCGATTAACCTAAATTTTTACTTTTAAAATCTTGGCAAGTATGCAAGCGGATTTTAGCGGCTGCTAAAAATGTGTAAACACTGAAACAAATGTGCAATACAATGTCACTCTGCGCATTATTTTTTATTTTTTTTTGCAAATCAACCAGTGCTTAGTTTTGTAATGTGTATATAGCTTAACCTTCGTGGTATTTATTGCATTCTGTTACTTTTTTGCCTAAAACTTAATATACCTGCTGACTACACCCTGGGGGAAAAAACTACAGCGGGCCTTATTTGGTGCCAAAAGGAAAAAAGTTAACGGCCAATCACAGCCACCCTTTCTTTCCCCCAGACTGCACTGAGAGAATGAAAGGGAAACCTGATTGGCCGCTATGGCCAACATTCACTTACATTAATCTGACGCAGTGTGGTCTGCATTGTTTCTCTTTGGAATGAAGTCCGTTGATTGAGTAATATTGAAGGTGCTCAGCGATACCAAAGTTCCTAAATCATTGACGGGCTTCATTCCTGTGTGTATATTGGTTGCTCCAAATATTTTCTTTTATTTTGGAAAGTATAACATTTAAATGGTGGATAATGAACAAGTCATTTCAGTGCAATTCAATGTTTTATCAGTCTTTTTGATACCAGCCAGATGCCATAATCCAATACTAGGAACTAAAACTGTATAGCTACCTATGTTGTGCCTATGTAATTCTGTAGTTGCCACACTGCCTTGCAGTTTATGTGCTGTGTCTGTAAATACTGTGATGTGTATATATTAATTGCTATTTCTAATCAAGGGAAAGGCTCATGCAATGTCTCAGCTGACTACATCTTTTGTAAATGTGGATCTGTAGGCTTTAAACTGGGTATCAATGGGACTTTTGCTATAACTACTTGGAAAAGAGAAAAGAGGGGCACGGATAAATAAGCTAGTGCAAAATGAAAAGAGGTTTTGCCCATGGCAACTGATCGGTATCTGTTAGTCATTTTCTATCAGATTGCTGATTGGTTGTTATAGACAGTACTGCACTTTTTAAGATGGTCTGTCCATGCAAGACTGTTTTTTCTGTTGTGGATAATTAAAGGGCTTTAAATAACCCGCTAGATTAGTATATTTCTGAAGGACTCAGGTAATAATTGCTAGGTCTGTCTGCATGCTGCAGCCAGGGCCGTAGTAAGAGCATCATGGGCCTGGTGCTGTCGGTCAGTCAGACTAGAAGCCACTGGTTGCCAGGAGCTGAGTGGGATGGGTGGGATGGGAACGCTTAGGTTAAGATTTTTTCCCCATGGATTTCTGCTTTAAATGAATGCACCACTGCATCATTTTTTTTTATATCTTTATGGAGTGTATCTTTTTATATAGGTGCTAAGAGGCACTTATATAAAGCACAGCAGGAAAAGTGACACCTCTATATGTTGGCATAGCCAAAGGATAGATCTCAGTGATATAATCCCCAAGACTTAATGGTTCCGGGTTATTCAGCCCTCCTCTTTCATAACTAAAATCACAGCTTTGGGTGGTCCGTTACATAAACCCTTTAAAGTGCTGACTACTGAGGGATAATTTAATTAGATGCTAGTGTCCAGCATCATGCACTATGCACTATACCAGGACAAAGGCAATATTACAATTTTTATGGACATTATAAAATACCGTTTAAAAATAAATAGCGATCTCTCGTTATGACTTTAGTTCTGTTTTTTGGTAATGGTCCTATTCTGTAGATAGATGACATCGGATTGTAAGTATATACAGAGACATGATGGGAAGTAATTCTTTTATTTAATTAGAGTAAATGGTTTTATATTGCTCAGGAAAGACATTTTAAAAAAGACACCTCCAGACAAAACGAATAATTTTGTTACGGGTAGAAGGTGATGGGAAAGCGTGTTTATAAAACTGCTTTTAACTTTGTACCCCTGAACAAATGTTTGAGGACACTGTAGCGGTTTTGTTTGCCCCCTGTGATGCAGCTTGTCTGGGTGTTGGAAGATGCTCTGTTGAATATATTGGGGTGACACTAAACCGCGAGAAGCAGCTGCAGTTTACACAGACTGAGGAGCAAGTCACTAGTCTGTGTGTTAGTGCTCTGGATGATCATAGCTGTCCACACATCAGGGGTGTCCCTAGAATACTTACTGCCTGAGACGAGTGTGGGGGGGTTATTGCCAGTGCATGTTTCAGGAAGGTCGAGGGCGGGGGGGGTGTAAGGTGGTTGGATGGGGGTGGTTGGATGCACGTTACAGGGGGGGTGCTAGTGGTGCACGTTACCGGGGAAGAAGGGGGTTAGTCGTGCCCGATGTCCAGCCCAGCTCTCTGACGTCCCTGGTTTCCAGAAACTGGGCGGGATGCTGGCCAGAGCATCCCGCTCAGCTCCTGGCAACCAGTAAGTCACAGGTGGCACTTAGAAGCCTAGAACGATCTGGCCGGAAAGAGGGTGCCAAACACACCTGCCGCCCCCCCATGTGACCCAGTGAGATGCAATCTGAGTCAACCAACTCAGGCTGCCTTATTATAGGGACAGCCTTGCCACACATGTTACATTCTGATTGCACAGTCTCTGTACAATTTTCATAATCTTTATCAACAACCAATCTATTCACTTTATACCTAACCAGGACCTCACACTACATAATTGTTAGTAAATCTAAGCCATGGTGTATCATCAGATTGTAATGTGCATGGCCATCTTATGTCAGGGTTGAGGGAGTGAGTACTGCTTTCCATACGTAGATTTCTCTCATTCAGGCCCATGGATTGAATGAGAGAAATCACTCAATTCCCCAAACTATGTTAAACAGCGTGGATGGAGGAATCTGAACTGTCGACTATTATATTCAGACAACCATTGGCACCCGCGGCTGCCTGAATAACCTGATTGGATGCAGTCACCATTGGGCTGACAATTTTCCACCCAGCTCATTCAATTTTCCAATCAACTTTTGTGGAGCCAGGTGGTATTGATTTTGAGTCTGCACCCCCCGGCTCCCCAAGAGTTGATTTCAAAACTGAAGGAGCTGAGTGGTGCAACTTTGTTGAACCGTGTATGGCAGGCTTAAGGCCCCATTCACATCTGCATGTTTTAGAAACTGTGCTTTATATGCATGTTTTATGTTACCACTGAACTATATGTAAGGCACATTCTGCTGGGAAGCACATTCATTCAGCAGACAGGACTTACAATGTGCCAC